TCTGGATTTTGGTAGAAATAAATTAAAACAACTTATTAAACGTAACAAAGCTATGTAACAGCAGTTGCGGAACTTTGAGGTCAAACAATCCAAATAATCCAATAATAATCAAAAGGCAATTTAGCATTTACAAGGCATTAGCCGTCTAATCGCGGTACAAGATAGCGTAGTCAGGTATTTAGTACTTACTGAATAAAGGAATAGTTTGCTGACCGCTACCTTAGATTCCATTCTCATATTCACACTCTGAACAACAGACTGCGGAAACTGATTTATGTTTTTAGCACCTTGACACATGTGCCCGATGAAAGTCTCATAAAAAAATATACTTTGCCCTAGTCCAATCTTTGCTGACGTACTGTATTACCTCCTGGGCCGGTGCAGCCAAGTCAAATCTCCTTGAGCTGGAAAGAATCCAGCGCGCAATTCTCAAGGTATCCCATTTCCTACCTTGTCGATACCCCACAACTGAATTATATAAAAAAACCAAGGTTTTGACTGTGCGCCAACTCTTCATTCACAACACGATTCTGAAGCAACATACTTTACTCACCTATTGCCCGTCAGCGAACTTTGGTAAACGGCGTTTTAATCCATTAGAACGTCCTATCGACTTTCAAAGAATTTTCAGGGCGCTTCTATTGCTTTATAACTGGCTACCTTTACAATAATATAAATAGGACATTGACCATATTCCCTCTAAATAAAGTCCCGCAAAAGATAAGTCACTGAGTGGTTGCAAGAGCTAAGTTATGATGAGACTGAAAAGTTATTGACTGCTCTAGTTTAGTTACATGTAGACATTTAATTAGTAAATAAATCGAAATAAATACACACATACGCACAAAGACACGCAAACAGAAAAAACTAACCATACTAACACTTGATTCTAACACTCTTAATTTTTCCTGTAAAATTAATTAAGCTTGATCAATTGTTTATCTCACTGTTACCGCATTGGAAAGTTCTAGTAATTTAATAAATATTATTGAAAATGTTATTCTCAAGGGGTGGAGACCTGGTGTCCTGAAACACAGGCCTTGAGCCTAGCATAGGCATAAGTGTCCCACAATATCTATAGAATAGTTCTTAGCTTTTATTTTATTATGTTTATTGTATTGTATTGGGGTAAGAATTGAATTATTATTATTGGTACACCAGATGTCGCAATGCGTGCCAAGTAGCTATTTTTAATTAACTAATTTGTAAATAATTGACGAACTACAATTTACAAAGTTTCTATACAAAGTTGTTGTTTACAAAGTTGCTTTAATTTCTAGTGACAACAAACAAATCAACTATATGACGCTTTTCCCACAGATTTTTATTAATACTGCCGGCTATTCTTTATTTTGTTTAGGATTAGTGCCATCTACCCATAACAGCAGGTGTTATTTTATAAATTACTTGTGACACGCTTTGCCATCTATTGACATTGAAATTTTGATTATTGTTTTCCATCCTCTAAGATTTAATCAATGTCAAAGAGTTAACGGAAAGAATTTAAAAAAATTGTTACATTTTCAACAGGATGTGACTGAATGAGATTTGTTACAAAATGAAAAAAAAAATGCGTTTTGATTCATGACGAAGACTGCATGCTACTTTACGTCTGATTCCTAATCACTATTTTATATTCTCACTTTTTTGTTCACCTAAATGTGTGTCTGTACTTACTCACACTGGGTACTCAGAATAAATTGACACAATAAATAGTAAAGTTTCCTACAACGTTAGGTCAACCCGAGTCAGCGTATATTAGTATGATAAACGCAATGCATTATTAAATCCATCATTCTAGGTTGTGCCGGCAGAAGCAAGGTAAAGCGTGGGTCACATGGACAGGACTTACACCTGGAAGGTTCATGAAGGTTGATCTATTTATTACAAGCAGCCAATGATACTATTCTTTTAGATTCTGTTCCAACTTTTCTAAATACAAAAAATTCTCGAAATTTTTGGGTATAGTTTCGATTGCCCATACCAAACTAACGTAGCCTTATGGGCACGTTATGCTCTACAGCACGCTACAAGTATTTTTTTTTATAATATTAAATGAAGAGACGAACAAGTCACGCACCTACCATCAGTAAGATAGTACACGCCTGTCCATAACAGTTGCAGTGCCACTCAGAGCTCACCACTCAGAACAATCGCAAAGATCTGAGGGGCATTGCCACTGCGCCCGATACCCCAAGACATAAGTTGATAAGTCCCACGTGCCTGTAATTTCACCAGCACCCTTACCCTTCAAAACCGGACAACAATGCTAACATTACTGCTCGGCGGCAGAAATAGGTAAGGTGGAAGTAATTCCCAGGAAGAACACTTTCACAATCACACGCTCTACTGCTAATAGAGCAGTGGTGAGTAGTACTAATATTATCAGGGTTAGCTTCGCTTGTTAGGGTTACGAGCATGAACAGGCTACATTTTTATTTTCTTTATTTTTTAATGGTATCAAGTGACGGGACGAACAAGTCGTGCGCCTGGAGTCCAATTCTGCAAAATTTATTGAAACCTCTGACCATTGCAATTCCATTGAGACTTCACTAAGGTTATATTGCAATTATGACAATATTTATAACCAAAAATAGAGACGAATTAAGAGCAATCCATCACAGGCAACTCATCAGGTAAATGGACCTTATATCACTTTTTTTTTAATAACGCACACACTCAACATATTTTAAATATCAACACTCGTTTGCGCTGAGAACACAAATTAGAAAGCTGAAATAGTACAGCGCCAACAACTGACCTATGTTTACGTCTCCGTATATTTCAAAAATATTCTGTATTTATTGTAATAAAGATAATATCTCTAACAATGGGGGCTGTTCCATTCGTTGGTGTGGGAAAACCAACAAAACATCTAATTACTAAACAAACGGAATCTCATTTCATTGGTAATTAAATATTAAATATGTAATTTTGCAATTTTCGTCCATTATAGCAAAACTCAAATTAAACTGGTCGATATGAAGTGAAACAATTGACGACACCCGTAAATTGTTTCGAATTCGGGCTGGCCAATCGGAGCGCAGTTGTCACAGTAATGACATTTTGGCTTTTGCAGCATAGTTTTGAAACAAATTATATGACATTTTGTCTCTATTTCTAGTTATATAATCGATGGTGGATGGCAGTGATGGCTTTAATTCATTCAATCACTAACAATCGATGTTGCCTTACTAAATCTACGATGGAAATTACTTTTTTTTTTTTTTTCGTTTTTTTTTTTTGATATTATGTAACGGGACGAACAAATTACTGTGCATATCTTAATTTTTTATTCGTTTAATCAGCAATTTAGTCGTCAAATTAAAATTACATAATATTAGTGCACTATGCCATCGATGAGCTATCGCTACGCCATTGAGTAGAATACTAGAAAAATGCTATGGCAGTTGAGTAGCAGCTCGATGGCAAGACACGGACAAACCACTACTCCTAACTTTTAGCAGAATACCTGCTAAAAGTTATTGATAAAAACATAATAAAAATAAATAAATAAATAATTGATAAAAAAACTATTGATAATGCTGCCATTGACACTATCGACACACAACTGGGATGAGTTAAAATTAGCAGACTTGCTGGTATCAAGCCAGTTGCAGTGGCAAAAAGAGATTTAAATCTCAAAGCTCTAAGGAGCGCTGCCACTGCTCCCGTCACTCTCGATACATAAAGTTGACAAGTCCCACGTGTCTGGGGGCCTACCACGACCTCTTAAAACAATATTACTTTAACCTCACATTGACTTTTTGTATCATGACGCGCTTAAAGTAACCTTATTATAACGTTAAAACTATGATGTTTTATTGGCAGCTTTGTGACTATTCATTCATTCAGTTCGTACTATGACGCGACTTTAACATTAAAGTTATATTGTTCTTATGTCAAATTTAGCAATCTTATAATAGTTCCAGAGACGCAGTGGAAACAATATTATTTTCGAATTTATTGTCTAAATAAAGATCTGTAATTATTAAAAGTTAAGTAGAACTTAATTATTTACATTAATCTTTTCAAGATTTTGTTTATTTTTTTATTTAATAACACACAGGAAATCATTTCTCGATAAATAAAAATACGCGATGTTTATTTCGTAAAATTATGACAGCGACATCTATACGCTCCTTGGTGATACTAACAATTGATACTAGACTATAATACCGAATTCACAGCGTGACTATCAAGACTCAGCTTGTTTTATTTATTTTTCTTCATGAAAATGCGGAAAAATAAATAAAAACAACGTAATTTCAGTAGATTTTATTATTACATACTTTTCTTTCTTTAATAGTTAAAATTCTCTGAATGTAAATAACATTAAGTACTTAAACATTATACTACAACATCAAAAAAGAAAGAGATGGCATTACATAATTCTTAAGGCGTTATTTCTTTCCTAGTTTTAGTAATATTTATAAATGATTCGTTCTTTCAATCACTTTAGCAATAATACATTACTTGGTTGACAGGCTTGTCATGGTACGAATATGAGTAATATTGTAATGCTTACTTTAAGCTTACATTTAAATAAGATTATTTTTGGAAAGGTTGTGGTAGGCCCTCTGTAGTTTCATCAACACCCATACGCTTTAAAACGGGGACGCAGTAATGCTCATATCACTGCTTGGCGGCAGAAAGAGTATGGGTGGCAGTACTTTCCTAGACGCACTCTTTCACAAGGAACTATAGTGCTACTAAAATTAAAGATTATTGAAATACTCATTATTTTTTGTCGTGGTGAAGTGCTTTTTTCAAGAGTTTTTTTAGAGTATAACTAGCATATCTCAAACAGCACAATCAGGCGCTCCGCAGCTGGAGCAATTTTAGTTGACGCTACTGGCAATTTTTTACAAGTTTCCATTAACGGTTGACGGTTGTAGCAACTAAAAGGCCTAGTTGCCGGTTCCCGTAATTTTAAAAAAACTTTCCAAATCCACGGTTAAGATTGACGCTGCGGGGGACTGGGAGGGAGTGAAATTGCTTCACGAGTTGCGGTTGCCGGTTGCGGAAACTGGCAACTGGAGACAACCGGTACAAATTTACAAGTTTCTAGTTGCAGCAATTAAGAATTTGTTCAATCACGGATTTCGGCAATCGAAAACTGTAGTCGATTGCCGAAACTCTCAACTGAAGTTGCTACGTCTGCGCGGTTTCTTGAAATAATATGAAAAACGTCATAAACAGCTAGTCGCGTGTTGCTAGTTGCCGAAACACGAAGATCAAAGTTGCTCCAACTGCGCAGTATTTTAAATGAAAAGTTTCATTAGTGATGTCCCATTTATATATTTCTACTTAGTATGAAATAAATTATAATATAGTACCTACAGTGAAAAAAGGTAACTGTTAATTATGTTCTTTAGCTTTTTAAAGGACCTACACATAATTTTTCAGAAATAGTGACATTCTGACATTCTGACTTTATAGAAATACTCATCACACTCAAACATTTCAGCTACCTATGAAACTTTCTAGTCAGTTATTTTCTTAATTTGTTACAACACCATTCAGGATTAGAGGAACTAGTGGCGCCATCTATTGAGCGCAGGCAGAGGTGCTAGGATGCGCAAACTAGCTGGTTATGGTAACCTTTCTTTGGAAGGTTTGTTTTCAGCACCACCGCTCAACAGAATGTAATGGGTTCATAGTTTTCGTCGTGTCCGCTAGAAGACATTTATCCTGATAATTGGACTTTTTTAATGTAAAATAATGTAGATAGCTTATCTTACCTTGACAGCTTCCTCAACATCATCATCGCGTGATGCCTTCACCAAGCTTTTTTTCATCAACTGATACATCGTTTCTCTTCTCAGATAATTTTCGCCGAGCAAATCATAACACTGAAAAGTAAAATTATTACGCATACTGTAGTGTTATCATGTTACTCACAGTTCATCCAACATATTCACATTCATTTTTGTAGCTGTAGGCAAGCTTTATCGTCACTTTTATCACTATTTTGTTCATCTACATCCGTTATTATTGTCGCTACACAACAGTTTGGCGCCCAATATTTTTCTTGAACCCTCTTTGTTAATTCAACTCTAAATTCTAAAAAGCCACTTCATGTAGTGCTCATTGGTCAACAACTCTTTGGCAGACTCATTTGATTCTACAATTTCATATTCATGCTACTACCAAAAACTTACATGTAGTAATTTTAAATATCTTTTAGCAAAAACTTTAACGTAACTTTTAAATATAATCCATTAATATATCATTTATTAAAATTATTCACTATATTATTTTCCTTTTTCTCTTAGTTCATGTTTATGAGCACAAATATTTTATGAGGTCTACACCTCATATCTGCTTTGAGATCTACCCCTCAGGGTTTTCTCTTAACCTCTGCATCTAGCCCTAACCCTCATACTCTTTACTTTGAGGTCTACCCCTTGTAGTCTTTATATTATAGTCTTAAAAATCTGTCGTGTAGCGACAATAATAATGGATGTAGATGACCAAAATGGTGATAAAAGTGATGATGAAGCTTGCCCACAGCCACAAAAATGAATATGATAACATGATAACACTACAATACACAGAACTTGTATATTAGGAATTATTTAGTACTTTTAAAAGATTCAATTCATTACATTAGGAGAAGATGAAGTAGTACATGAACTTTTCCCACTTTGCGCAATTACCAATAAATAAGTGAATGTGTGTGAATTCATAACGCCCATCTCCCTAAAAAATAAGTTGACCACTCTGGAAAACCGAAACAATACTGCTTGGCGGCAGAAATAGGTGGCGGTACTGGACGAACCTTTACAGAAAACTAAAATATTACAGGTATAAATATAAATAGTGCTATGTTCGATCAAAGTCCGGTAAAATTATTTATCATACCGTAAACGCGTACGCGATGCGTTCCTCGAGATCTCCACGTAGGTACAGGGAAAAAGCCTTAGCGAATGTTTGCATGGTAACATAAGGGGTCGTCCCTCGATCGAGAGCCACCATCACACGCTCCATCATATAGGCATCTGTCATACCCAAACCAGTATGAAGAACGTCTCTGAAATGAGCTCTGGGATATGACCCAGATGCGTACATAATTATGGTCTGTCGTATTTGTAATTGAAAATCAAACTATTTTAAGCTATTAGTTGCGTTTGATTAACGAAAAAAATTATATTCGAAAAAATAGTTTCTTGTTTCTATGTGTAATAAATTAATAATTCACCAAAACCTATTTTATGAACTCGGTATTTGTATTTTTTAATAGAACTTTTGAAGATTTTCACTGTTAACGAGTAAATTATACGTTTTTGTTACATTACAAAAAATATTTCTAAAGGCGCCATCCAATTACGCCTGTTTAAAATTCCTTCCTTTTATTGAGTGCGAGATTATGGAGAATCGTATTTCTAAATTTGATGAAACTGGGCATTATTTCGGTTTTCAATCATTTGTTTTGTTCGCAGTTACTTATTTGAACTGGACCTATTTCATAAAAGTAGTGTAGGCACCGTATAATATGAGTATTGTGTAGTATTTCCTAGTTTTATTTAAAAAATACTGAACTTGCAAAACTGCTTACTTGGTACATATTTATAAAAAAAAACAATTATACAGTTTATTTTAAAAAACCATTTCTGACTACAAGACTAAAGTTTTTGTTGTAGTTGTAAGTTGCAATTTTTATTTGCAAGATTATGGTACTTTAGAGGTGTTAAACATTGTGTTACCGCCCACAGCGTGTTAGCCATCAAGAGCGACATAATTTACAATTTATCTTTACTAAACTTATACTATACGGTATTCATTACGGAACAGATAGTCATAATTAATAAGTAGATTTTGTGTATACTTCATCTCCGGTTTTTTAGTGACCGAATGCAAAAAGTAGTAACTTACTTTACATAAATTACAAAAAAGTTTCTAAAACGAGAGTTGAAAATATTCTATTTTGTCAACAAAATTAAAATAAACACCACCTCAAATATCTTATTTAGCCAATACTACATCCTTTCAGAATGCACTAGAGTAGGGTAAACCGGGTACGGTTGAAACAAAGGACGGTTTAAACAGGACAAATATCTTTCGAACCGTATGAGATAAGGTGAGGATTCCGAGAGGCGAACGAAGCAGACAAGGTCTAACACGAACCATAGTGTTACTTCGCTTACCGCACTTTGCAGTTGTATATAAGAAGACTAATCAAAACTATGTACTTCTGTTCGGAGATTTCTCAAATTATTACGATTTTTATTGAAGTCTGAGTATTGAGTGTGTTTTTGTGTTTGAAATGAAGCCTATAGAATAAGATAGCGTGATTAGTTTTAATGTGTCATTACTGTCACCATTACTATAAACAATTTTGTACCTAAAAGAGAGGGTGGAAAAAATTCCTTCTAGTACTCGAGTTTTACTATTTCAGATATGTAAATACGTACATTGCGTATATTTGTTAAGTAGGTACTTATTCATATTGTCATTACTTCATAGTATCTGTAAAACATTGAACACAGTCAAACGGTGCCATAATGTAATTGGAATTAAAACATGTTATCATATTATACTTAGTATTATTTGCTTACGTTTCAACTGACCCCACTCACTGTTTCAACCGTTCCTGGTATGAGGACGTTTGAAACAAATTGGAAGTATTTTTTTGAAATAACACACCGGGTACTAAAGTATCATTGTCCATTGATAGATAGAGACACGCTCTTGTATATAACTTCATCAACACTCGGGTCATAAACGTCCATACTACGGACGATGTAAGCGAAATTGTTTCAACTGTACTCAGTCCACTCTAAGCGCCCAGTTACACGACGCGAGTTTTCGGACAGGAATGGCGAATATTAATTATATTTACTAGGCAACAACATTTTAATTCCTTGGATAATACAACCGCACGGACCAAAGTAGACATAAATGTTAAATTTTTATAGCGCGCTATTTAAAGTGTTAAAATTATAGCAGTTCAAAGTAGTGTGATATTGTAACGAATGGCAAGAAACGCAAAATAGTTGACGCCAGCTAACTTGCTAAGTTATAGGTCTAAGGTCTATGGCCTATTTATGTATGGGTATGGTTTTTTATGGTTAGTTACCACCGACTTCATTGTCTACTTTTAATTTTGTAACTAACTTCGAATAAAAAATATATAGGTATTTTATAAGAGAAATCAATGAACTTCACCTTATTCTTTAACAGGCTTAGGACTGTCTTTAAATGGTCTAGTTTAATTTATTTAAATCTTTACCAAAGTGCAAATATAACTTACAAGCGTATTTAAAAGTTCATTGATTGATTTCATATATCTATGTACAATTAATTATACTTATAGGTTTTCTCTCTTTATCTTTTGTCACTTTTTTCTGTTTACGCTTTTTCGTTTGCCTAATGTTTACAGATTTGCCATTTTCTTTCACTTATATTTATAAATAATAACTTATTAAGTAAACAAATGCTAAACGAACTATATAAATCAAAGTAAATAGATCTTAATTTAATTCGCTTCAACAGACAAAATTTTGCCATCATTCCACCATTAGCTCTAAATCATACCTACAACTATAAAGCTCATAACGCTTATTAAGTACTATACAGCACTTAACATTAGCGCTTAGCTTAACCAAGCGTGAAATTTAATATCAATAAACCAATCAGCTATTTCGCGTTTCGCACCAAACGTTAAATAAATGCTACAAATAACATATGAAAGTACGACACGTTATAATGGTTTCAACCAATGACCATGCAAGTTTTTCGGCTCTCTCATTGGTTGTAACAATTAGATATCATATTTTCGCATAGAAAATATTCTACGTGAAAATATGATTGATGAATGATGTGAGGATTTTGTTTGTAAGTAAGAGTTTTGACGTAAGTAAGACCACGGATACATTGATAGTTATGGACGCATTGAAACTTTGTAAAATGATGTCGCTAGAATGGCATTTGATTTAATTTATACTTTAATCTTGCCATACGCCAATCCAAGATGAAAAAAAGTACGTTATAATTTTAGCAGCTTTATTTCTTTCAAATTATAATTGCTATACATATTTAACGTTACAATTAGAGCTATATGTTATATTAACCATCTCGACCAAAGAGAAACCAGCCCGGCCCGCGCGCCCGGGACTCTCATTTAAGTTAAAACGTAAAAAGTAAATACATAGAGCTAATTTTGCTGTGACAGTTAGATGCACACGGTCGCTGCGCGGTGGCCACGCGGTCTCCGGCGTTAGCCCGATGAAATTTGTGTCGAATAAAGGCGCCATAAGCCTCATTGCTTAGTCCCCACATAACCCCTGAGTCTCCCTGGGCTCAGGGGTATCCATAAAGATTTCCCCCCCGTCAAAAAAAAAAAAAACAAAACAAAAAAGTTAGAATGTGAAAAGTATTGTAGTAAGTAGAAAATATAGAAAAAATATAGAAAAATCTTGTGTAAAAGTTGTTACAATTCCTTCCATGGCTGGTTACGGCCTTAGTGTCTTCACTGCTCTAAGATAACATTCTTTTTCTTGTCTGGGTAATAATAACTGAGATCCTACACTAACCTAACCTACAGTCAGGTTATTTTGAGACATGAAGGTTGTCCTTGTCCTTAATTAATACATACATACTCGATAATGGTAGGTAGTTAAAGGAGAAATAAACCATTGAAATTACTAGTCCACCATGCTCCTACACTGGTGTAAGCTTCAACAAGTACTTCTTTTAATTTCGTTCAAGTAGGTACGTTCCCGCATTTATAAAACAATTCTACGTGTACTTACAAGATTCGTACCTTGATATCGTATCACCTCCCGGTTTCTCGTCTCGTTTCTGAATTTTGAAGAATATTACCATAATTTCTGAAAATTAAAAGTTTTTTCATTTCAGTAAATCGTTTTAATTTCGTCGACTGTAAATGATAAAAAATTAACAGGCATTTTTTTCTCCAGGATATAAATTATAATTCGGACGATTTCTAACAACATTTATGTTTATTTGCCGTAAACATTTGCGTGGTTTCAAAGGAAAATTTATTGGCGTCTGCATGATCTGAGAAATAATATTCCTTATGTAAATCGTAAATCAAGATAGTCAAATAAACGGATTAATTCATGGAAAAACTTGTTAAAACAAAATTAATTCAATTGAGAATATTGAGAACGATGTCGTAAAAAAAAATTTCTTATGCATCGCTTTGCAAACTAAGGTACATTATTATAAAGTGTTTCCTTACTAACTTTATTTACTAGTTTAGTACTATACTACACTTATCACTTTTTTATTCTACACCTTGTAAACATCCTTACGTCATAGTACACATGGTTGAAACTATCGTGTGATGAACGTAGGTCTTGAGTAACAATAAACCATAAGAGATTGCATCCTGGAAGAACCATGAGAGAATTTATATCCATATCACCAATTTTTCGCGGCAAGTACACCATCTTATATGATCAGAAACTGAATATTCATCACTGAAGCTCATAGCCAGTAAGGATTAACCAGACCAGATTATCCTAACAGAATCTGAATTGAGATTTGGTTTATAACGCCATTTTTATGGTAAATTACTTTCATCAAACATGTGACCGGAACTACGGAAACTGGAGCTCTAAATAAAAATGAGTAGGCTTGGCTATTCTTCGCATGAACACTTTTCTATGAAATCCCCGTGAATTCAATGCAAATGTTTAGCACACTGCCACTATGATAGCATAAGTGTATTTACTGCCATTGTAGTGGATTAACCCAAAGCCAAAATATACTTCATGTAAATGTAGAAAAAAGCCTTTTATAACCTACTTGTAACATTTGAAGTCAAGGACCTGTGCATGGAGGTCCTAATCATCTAGTTTCAACCGCAAGTTACGTGTTTCATATAAGTATAAACTCGGAAACCTTACGTTCTAATTCAGTGAAGGTGAAATGAGTTTCTTTCTGCAATTCCTGCCAAGTAAATCCGTGTTTCTTGCGGAAACGAATTTCCTCCATGGGATCTAAGCTTGAGTCCAAAGACGCCGACATTTTATCGCAGTTACTTAGTTTTTTTATTAAAATGTATGTATTTTCCTGAAAAAAATTATGACTTTACTTTTCAAAGTAAAAAACCATCCATGGTGTCAATAATGGTTCATTGACATAAGTAGGAAAAATATGACTTTTGTTTTTTTATAGTTATATTCGCGATGGCTTTAATCTTTTGTAATGTAACTCCATGTGACTCGCATCTACATTTTTAATGATGGAAAAAATAAAGGATATCTACGTACATGATTTGGATGATGTTTTGAAGTTCTTCTTGAAATTGTTTCCGAATACATTTACGTCGGGTAGATTCTGCGATTAGGAGAAACAAATGGAAACAAATTCGAGACGGAAGCCAAAAGGAGGTTCCAGCTTAGACGTCGAGTCTTCTCGTCACCCATACCGGAAAGTTTGAAAACAAAGGTTTTCAATCAATGCGTTCTACCCATTGTCATACAGAACCGAGACGTGGATGATATGGGTAGTCCATCAGTCACAAGTCGTGAGCTACAGAATGAGCTATGCTTGTAGTTTCTCTGAAGGACAAGATACGAAACGAAATCCCGCAGTGGACTGTGATATGCTGATAATGAATTTTGAAGTTGATATACAAGTATCCTTGGTGGTAGAGATACATCTTATTTGCTCCTGTTATTTGTATTCTCCAATAAAATGAAAGAATTCAAATAGGAATTCAAAGGTTTCAATTCTGTAACTGTCTGAAACATCTTCTATCACTTTTCAAAGCATTCTTCGAAGATGCCAAACGCCAAAAGATGCCAAAGTTAAACTCTATCACCACGGAAGAATATGGTCTGTGTCTATCACAAATACCAAATGGAATTTTTAAGACAAAAAAAATAGATTAGTAGATTGTCAAATTGTTTAAATTGACTAAAAACCATTTTTAATTATCTCCGTGGCTTGTTTAACTGAGCTGAATATTTAGTTTTAATAATTTATCAAAATAAATAGGTATTAAAGAACATCACATACGTTGCTAAAATTCCAAAGTAAGTAACTGTACCAGAAACACCCATTCCCGAGACAATATAGAAAACTTACTGCTTTGACCCGGCCGAGCATCGAACCCGGGACAACAGAGGTGGCAACATGATGAAAACCAGTATGCAAGCCAACTCAACCACAGAGGGCCTCAGCATATTCAAGGCTAAAGTCGCTGTCACTGCACTAATAATATATGGTCATTCCATGACACTCAGCCGAAAATGGTACTTGGTAAAAACTTGTTAAATTGTTTAAATAGCCACATATGAGTACACGGATTTAACGTTAGAAATGTATCAGTTACCGTCTCGCCGTCCTTAAAACAAAAGCACAAATTCTTCTTAAGACGCACTTAAAACTTCAACGAAGACTTATAGCCATACCCTTTTGTAAGTACTTAAGGCCCTTTCCAACATTTGTTTTTTAACTATAAGAAAATAGAATAGACATTTATTGCAAATAGGAGACAGATAGTAGGTAAACCTACCAAATTAATTAAACACATGGATTTTTATTTCACTTTTAAATATTCTTGTGATGCCAGACTGTACATTATTTGCGCAGGTCAATGATCAAAAGAAAAGCAGGTAGGAAACCAAGGACAGAGCGCACAGAGAGCACGATATTTCTTTGTCAGGAGGATATTTGCCAGGTAGAGTCATGCAGGCTGAATGCCCGTATTCGCAACCCCTTATTCGGTACAGGACAAATTTTGGATTCGACAGATTAGAGATTCAGCAGTATCGCTATTCGACAGATTCGTGGATTGATCAAGTAACGTCAGCTCAAGACGTAAATAAAGGTATTAACATCGGGCTACTAAAAATTAATAATATAAATAACAAAAAAAATTGTGTAAGTTGATTTTTATTTTAATATTTTGACGATTTTTTTAAAAGAATGAAATTACCAAACACGGATTTCGGCTGTCGAGTCATAGAAATCAACGAACTTAGGTACCACCTCAGAACATTTATAAATAATAATATTTATTCGGCAAAATAAATACAGTAGATACAGTTTTTCATATTATTATATTTAATGCCATCATGGTATATAACGTTTATTGTTGAATTGAAAAATGTATAAAATGTAATAATACATTTCAGTTGCTCAAAGCAAGGTATAACAAAATTAGTTCGATAAAATTTAAAATTAGATTATGTACAACGCACAAGCGTATACTTTGTTTTAATCACGTAAGTATATGAGTCGAAAGGAGAATTTTTTTATTGACATGCGTGTAGCTTACCGTGACGACTTGTTCGTCCCATCACTTGACATTCTAAAAAAAAGTTAAGTAGGTACATTATTAAAAATATCTGTACTGATTATAAAGCAAGAAATTTGAAATGAATATACGTATAAGTCATACTCGTAGAGGAACCCACAAAGTACTTGAAAACCACAAACCTGTTTAACACATTTTTTAGAGGTAAAGATGTTTTTAGAGATGCAAGATATGGGACTAATTATCTTGAAATGAACATAAAAAGTTGTTAATTATTTGTTTTTGCTTGAATAAAAGTTACTTTCATGAAAAACACATGTAACATTTTTTTAAATAAATGCTCATTTGACTTCCATCTCAACTGATGGAAAATGACAATGAAGTCGACGATGGAGCTTGGAAACACAATTAAAAAAAAATTAACAATAGTATTATAAAATACCTACAACAGTTGGCTATTATAATTGCGATCCACCATTAATTATTTGCCAATTAAATGAGTCGTTTAGTAGTTACAAATAACAGGAGAAAGAAAAATAACAAGAGAAGAAATCGCATTCAGTAAAACTATAGAGGATAATTCAAACCCAAACAATATTTTAGAAAATAACACTTATTATCTTGAAAATATCCACCCAAGCTATCCGTAAAAATTTGCCATTTTGCTAGGGACTCATTAATTATTTTGCAGTAGAATAGTGGGGTACGGAAATCCACAAAGTATATACACAACTAAATTGTTTTCCTTGTAGCTAATTATCTAAATTGCGAAATAAATATATTAGAGGCGAAATAAGGTGGGTATGAAGGGTACTACCCTTCACCCTTGTAAAAAAGTTCAACCAAAGCAGTGCTGCCATATTCTGGTTTTGAAAGGTAACGGTCACAGACCATGGTAACGGTACTGGTGAATTTACAGGCACATGAGACTTCTCAACTTATATTCTGGATGACGGGCGCAGTGGAAGTGCCGATCTAGATCTTTGCGATTTAAAGCTCTGAGTGGCACTGGAGCTGTCATGGACAGACGAGTCGCTTAGCAGCAGGTGCATGACATGTTCGTCCGGTCACTTGATATCATAAAAAAACTTTTGCTAGATAGAGATGATTCAGTCAGCCGTGACCAAGAGTTGGTTTACGTTGGTAGACGTAGGTTTGTTTGAAAAAACGAATATACCTACGCGATTTACATTAAAAAAAATAGTTTTTATATCCTATGTGTTCTATAGTATGCTCATGGGCATTACCGTGTAAAAGTAGCGCTGAAGGTCATATTCATATTCTTCACAATAACGGAAGCTTGAAAGTTGCCGACAAATTAACATTAGCAAAGTTTTTTGATACATTTTGCGCTTGTCTTGTTTGCGATTAACATAAAAAAGCCATTTTTCGGACATTCTTGTGGTACCCAATTATCTAATTCTATATTTTTACCGATTTGGTGAAAATGTCTGTATTTATGAGCACAGTTATTAATTTCTTCGTAGTTTCTGATGGATCGGCTTCAACAATAGCGCAGAAACTATGCTCCAATGTTATGGAATATTGTCAAAGAGTATCAGTACCTTAGTCTATACCTCTTGGGAATGAGCTAGCCAGGCAGATAATATTGACTTTTTACCAACGATATTTATACCGAAATTAATACATAAAAATGAAGTAGTAATGTAGTAATGACATGTTTATATAATAATAAAAACTGTTAATATTCAACCTTTTGGTGTATATACAACATATATTTACTTAAGCAAACATCTTAAAAATGAAAACTATTTATGATGAAACTGAAAATCTCTTATTATTACACACGTACGCACTCGCAAGCACTAGCATGCACTCGCATGCACGCAGGCACTCGCAGACACCGACACCACGGCGCCGATATAACCGGCGGGAGGTAAACCCGGGGGATTTCAGTGCGGTAGGCCCTTCAGTCTGGTGGGAGAGTCCCCACTTAACCCCTGACTCTCCCTGGGCTCAGGGGTGTCTATAAAGACCGCCCCCCCCGTAAAAAAAGAACAACAAAAAAAGAAAGGCACTGGCAGGCACTCATAAGCCCTCGTAGGCACTCGCAAACATAAGCACGCACTCGGAGTGGATAATATTTATAATGATTATTGTGATTTTAATTTCTTATATGTTCATCGAAATGTAAAGTATGTTTAACGAAAGAAACTCCTCTCTTTATTCCATTTAGAGGAAGATAAATAGGCCACTACATGGCACAATTTACGACCATCATAATAATATTAAGGTACGTTCGTAATAAAAAAATTTAAACAGTTTAACCGCTCACGCGACACATGCAGCCGTAGACGCATACAACACCTAGAGGTACCGGTGTTGATTTTATACCGATTTATCGGATATCGAAGTTATAACAGTTAAAAGAACTAACATTATTTGCTATTTCGGTAACTACTCTAGCAAACCATAAAGTTTTTAATGCCTGGGTCTGTCATTTAAAAAAAATAAACAACTTCAACTTCGTGTGTGTTATTGTCTGGGTTGGTGATTTTGGTATTTATTGAAAACATACCGTAAGTAGCGTTTTTTAAGTTTACCCTGAATATAAATGTTTATAAACTATACTTTAAGGAGTAATTTCACGGTAAACGTTAGAACCACTCAAACAGAATATTATCATATTTATCCAAGTACACCAAAAATTTCATTAGTGCTTTTTAAGTGCAGGATTTGCGGTGTATTACTGCATTTTATTTGAGATGTTTTTATTGGTAGTACGGAGGGTATTTATTTA